ATATATATATATATATATATATATATATACGCAATAAGATTATTTCGTAAATAATTTTAGCAAGGATACTAATATTTTTATTCTGTGTAGCGCTCAAGTTATGTGTTCTTTACTAAAATTCATAATTGATATTGATTACTTAATATGAAATAATTTGAAAAGGAAAAATTTCAAAAGCAATAACGATGTATTTGTTAGATAAATACATGAGTGATTTGAAATTGTTTTAGTTAATGTTAAGATTTGTACTATTAGGTGATTCGGTTTTATTGTATTAAGTCAAGCAGCTTGGACTAGCAAGCGGGACGCATGCTAGTCGATTACGCGGAATAGTTTACGATTTCAAAGTTAACTTGCGAACGTTCACAGACTACGGCGATACCGTTCTACTACCCTCGCCTTTCTCGCCCTTCCGCGAGAGGGATGAGATGCGCAAGGTCAGATCTTAAGGGTGGGAGGAGGGTTGCTAGGTTGACAACCCTGCCAGCCAGGCAGAGGGACTCCGCCCATTGGCGGAAACCGCGGAAAAAAGGAAGAGGAGGGTGAATTCCGTGGGTCTCAATGATGGCGATAAAAACGGCGAGAGGGTGAACGGAGAGAAGAAAAGGAAAAGGAATAATGGTAGAGCGAAGGAAAAAGATAAAAGATGTAGAGAAGGAGAGAGAAAGAGAAAGAGAGAGAGAGCAAAGGGAGAAAGAACAGTCTCGTTCGCGAATGTTAATTAACGACGAATTATAATTATTCGCTGTAGGACCCGGTCGCGAGAGAGAGACGCGCGAAAAAGCGGCCGCGAAATTAGCCAGATGAAAGATTGCGTAACTATAAATGCCGAAGCGCGATCGTTAAATTCGTCGATGCAATAATCCGCGGCTTTTTGTTTAAGTGCCGCGAGATTTATGATCGCGGTATCCCGTCGCGATGCTCAAAATTTTTCCCCCTTCCCCGTCCTACGTCTTCTTTCTTGAGAATTAAAGGGAGCGTCATTATAGCTAGACAATCGTATAACGCAGTCCGAAATGGTGAAATTTCAGCTGACCATTTGTAACGCAAACATTTTAACTGCTATATTTTACATTGTTCAAATTGCTGTGCTTAAATTACTGAGCGATGCCTGGTAGTAATTGAAATCGCAGTTAGCGCTCGGTAATTTTTGATATGTTTAATCGTTACTGTTATATTATCAATGAATAATGTATATACGGGGTTGTGCAATAGAAAATGTGCGTTTTCCCTTGATTAATTTAAAGACTTGCAAAGCGCAATTTTTGTTTACTGAGTTTTTTTTATCGATGGTCATCGTCGATTATTTAATTTTCAATTATTGTCGTTTTATTAGTAACTAAACTATAAAAATATATTTTACGAGCTTAGTAATTTGAATGAAATATACTTATAATTATAAAATAAGATTATGTCTTTTGTAAAAATCAACATTAATTTAATTTTTTCACTTAACTTAATTTTGTCGACAAATACCATATTAACATATATCGATTTACATATAATAAGAATATTGGCAAAAAATAAAATACTGTTTTTAAAAAGATCTAAATTTAGGATACAAAAATTAGGCTGACATCGTAATATTAAACGTTGTTATTTATGTGGTAATTGTACTTGTGATTATCTAGAGTCAAAAATTTATGGTTACGTTTAGCAATGATTATATTAAGAAACAATTTAAACATTCTATTGTTTACAACACTTTAGTTTTGCAAACAGTGGAATGTTCAAATTATTATCGCACAAACATCTGCAATTTCCAAATCTATCTTTTCCTTTGTTTAAAAACAGTATATTTTCTTTGTTCAAAAGTTACATATTTGAGTTACATTTTGATTGCGGATAAAAAAAACGTAATTGCGTTTAATTTCCGATAGCGTCATAAAGAGAGAAAAGTAATGCAAGACTTAGAATTAATTTAATTTGCAAAGAGTGCGCGATATGCTGTCAAGATTCCTTCAAGGAATCGCTCCGCAGATGCATTACAAAATTCGCGAAACATGAAGCGAACATGCGATTTTCATCATCAATCTTATCAGCTCGTAAAAAACAAGATTTTTTTATTCCAGGAATCGGATTAGTTGCTGCTCTACGTGATTAGTACGGCGATTATGTCGCATTGTTGTATTTTTACACCAGTCCGGTAGTGTCAACCAGATCGTACGGTGATTTAACCGTCGAATATACAAAAAAGCCTAGCACAATGCACGCCTCGTTATGCACGCGCGCTCTTACAATGAAAGCGCTTAATCTTCTTTCTAAATAAAACGCGCGCCACGCTCGAAAGGCTTCCAAACATTTCGATTAATAAGCCATTTTTCCTCTCCTTTTTTTTATAACAATTCATCGCTACGCGCGCTTACTTTGCGTATCTGTGCATGTGATTTTAATTCGATTCATTGCAGATAATTTCGCGGGTAATTCCGATAGAGTTTCCATTGTGATAATTACTCGACGGGCGTTTCGAACGAGCTGGAAATTAGTATTTATAAATAAATACGCGTGTCGCGAAAGAAGTATTTAAAATTGCTAGCGCAAACACAATATTTCATTCTTTCAACGCTACAGCACAGTCGCACTGTATTATTCTCTCTCTCTCTCGAAACGGAAAGGAAAAAGAATATTCTCGAGTATAAATTGAAACGCTCGGCGATTTGAATCTCGCGATGCATCCGCGATTACATTAAATCGCGTAAAGCCGGCGTTGCGTTACGCGGAATGCGTAGCGCATATTTACAGCGAAATGTTCAGCATTGCGTGCAGAACCAATATTAATTTAAGCTTTGCCCGGAACCAATGACATAACGTTTGTGTCCGCTGCGCATGCATTAATAACCGTGCGTTAATATTTCATCAAATTTCAATTGAAATTTTCGAATTGGATGTATCAGATCGAGTCATTTGACGGAGCGCAAAAAGATTTGCGCGTTTTATCCATGAAAGGCGAGGAGGAAAAGAGGGGAAAAAGAGAGAAAAGGTGTAGGTAGTTGAAAAAAGGGTGATATTGAACGAACTCGTATGGCAGGGCTGAACGTCATGTCGTAAGATTTCTCGAGGCCGAAGTGACGGAGGTGCGTAATATGTTCTCTTTTAATTTCAACAGGGAGACGCGGTCTGGCGATGCTCCTGTCATGTGCAGGATGCGAGAAACCGATAATGGATCAGTACCTGCTGAACGTTTTGGACCGTGCATGGCACGTCGAGTGCGTGCGCTGTTTCGACTGCAGAGCCGCGTTACAGGACAAGTGCTTCTCCAGGGAGGCAAAGCTCTTCTGCAGAAACGACTTCTTCAGGTACGTTGTACGTGATTGTGTGGGTGTGCTGCTAATTCTCACATGGAAAGATCCTTCAGGCTTGTCGCTGATACATAGAACTAGTTATCTTAGAAAGAATAAAAGTTTGTAATAATCGCGGTATATTACAAATTAAATACATTGGTCAAATTTTCAAATAAAAAATCATCTATTCATGTATCATATCCTATTTTATACTTTATTCAAAAAATTATATTTTCTAAAAGAAAAAAGCTTATATTTTTCAACACAACAAATTATTATATTAACTAATCAAATAATATCAGTAAAAAGAATATATTCTTATCACGATCAAATGTCGTTTTTGTTTCATAATACTTAAAAAACATATTTTTGAAGTATAACAATTATGATGACTTTTTTAATGAAAATAAATTAGTTCACTTTTGCTGATGAGTAGAGGATATTTGGTTAATTCATTCATGATAATAACTTGAAAATATAAACGTTTTTTTAAATTTGTTTTACTTTTAAAGTAAAAAAACAATATGAGAGATAAGATATGCCTAATATGGATAAATGAAGATTGTTAACATTGCGAAGGAAAAATTAATTTACGCTTAATAGAATTGTCTTTACATTTAAAGAACATGCTCTCTTTTTGCAAAATGCCGACACTCCTTACAAGATAATTTAAATGAGTGATCTCTATTAGAAATTAATTAATCATTACCGTATAAATAGAGAATTATTGTTATTGAGGAACTATTAATACCCCCATATAATTATAGAACTCACGTTCACAATCTGCATGTATATATATGCATCAATGAATATAGATGCGTTGATATAGAACGAATATAGATCGATTATACGCGACTATATCTTTTCATTATGTTACTGCTACGATCAGAAATACATCTTAAAAACGCGCCGATTTATTTATAGCTCAATAATCAATGCATAGCGTAGATAATATATATAAATATTCATGATACAAATATTTATGATGAAAATTTCAAATTTCCCCACGTTGAAATTTCCCCTTTTTTTGTTGTCTCTCTCGAACTATCACGAAAGTTCGTGTTATTGAGCGGTGAATATCTCCGACACCTTTCCCGACGATCTAGTCGTCTTCTCGTTTATGACCTATCGACGATGAATCACGCGGGAAAGATCGGCGTGTTTTTGCGTGATTAAGCGACGGATCGGCGATTCGAGAAAAAGGGATCTTGCAAAGTATTAGGCCTTGGCGTTTTCTTGTTGAACAACGCGGGCGCCGTTTCGCTCGGCCTGATCTTAACCCAACGTTACTAAAACGGGGTATGACAAACCTCGGGTACTATAAACATAGTATTATTTTCATTTACAATTGTTTTGTTACTATATATAATAAAAAAATTTGTTTTAATAACTTTTGAATTATAGTAACTTTATTGATATAATTTTGGTCCGAGGATCAAACTTAGTTTATAAAGTATTAGGTTAGAGGAAAAGTTCTACGGTTTTTGTTAGCTCAAAACTATAACATATATATAATATCTTTGTCAAAAATAAACAAAATTTAAATTTAAAAAATAAAAGATTTTGAAGCTTGAAATCTCTACTTTCAAAAGATTTTTATAATAATTTTTATACATATAGAAAACTATGAGCTGGAAAAAGAGAAATTTTTTTTCTTACTTTGTGGATCTGTCATGTACCAAAAAAAATTTACAAAAATTGTTAACCATCTAACGTGAAAGCTTAACGTTTTTCCCAAATTTGTTTTTAAAGAATGTTTTTATGATTATTTGTTCCTGAGTTATTCACGAGTTAAGTAAAGGAACATTTTGATTTTAATTGCTCATAACTCCGTTAAAAATCATCGTATCGCGATTAAAAGATCAGATTTTTAAAGCTATATAAAATTTATAGCTCTATCGAGTAGTATAATCGCTCATTTTTAAATGTACAATATATAATTTTAAGCTAATAAAATATCGCGGAACTTTGCTCCAACCCAATATTCTATAAAAATTTCACATTAATTTTAATTCTTGAATTAGCTAGATTTTAATAACAAGACCTTAGTAACGCCAGGTTAAGAATAGACTTCATTTTTGCCCGACGATGCACAAATAGTGCTGTTATGTATAAGTGAGCATCGGAAACTTGTAAACTTACTGCATGACGCGTGTTTTAGTTTTTGCGTATCTCGGAAAAACACGAGTGCCCGTCAACGAGTCTCCGGTGAATTTTACATGCGATACGACTCGTCGAAAATGCGAGCGCGAGGAAATTTTCGAAATGTGGATTACCAGCAGCTTGCTTTAAGTTGGAAGTCGAATCACATTTGGGAGGTTCTTAAGCTTCTCTATCGTGTTTTCGGAAGTTCACCGGAAGGAAAAGTAGTTTAACCTAGTGATTTGAATTAATGATCGTCGCACATAGAAACGATTTAAACGGCCCGGCAGCATAGTGATTAATTCAGACACTCGTAGAGCAAATTGCTTTTGACGTCCTTTTCGACAGTTACTTTATTTCTGCGCCTATCTTGTAAAATTAACGAAGAAATAAGTAATATAATAACTTGATACATTGTTGCAAATAATTTCAAAATATGATTGCGCGCAGATATTTCTTTCGTAAGCATCCTTTCTTTCATAAATGTCAATTTTTATATAAATTGATGAAAGTGATATATTCGTAACGCGCATCGTAACATTGTCAGGAATTATGACTATTCTTTATTATGTGATTGTAAATTATTATCAATGTCATTATTAATAGCATCATTAATGTTATCGTTATTAACACCATAATTTGTCTTTAAAGCTCAATTTGATTCTCAGTTAAACCGATTAAAACAACGCTGCGCAAATTATCTTACGGTAGATCGTAGCAAAATATAATTAGTTTTCTCAGTCACTTATATTATAACTAAAAAAAAAATGCGACAACCGGTCTTCATTATTCGCGACGCCACGCCGCCATAGATCTGTCGCATCCTACGGTCCTTACCGTTCCACGTGGGTGGCGAACTATGATATCACCGTATCGATTAGTCAAGGCGAAAAATGGCGAGTTCGCCGCACCGCGCTGTGGCGAATTCAATTTCGCGGCGGCAGTTTTCTGCGGTAGCCAGGCCGCGCAGATCGTTTGCAAACAAAATCGCTGCGTTCCCGGACACGGTCCCGCGGAGAGGAAGAGGTACTCGCTTCTTTCGTGACTTCTGGAAGTGATGAACGATCCCCTTTGTGACCGGCGGGAATCGCGCCGTAAACGGTATGGTCCGGGGGTCGGTGGAGGAGGAGCGCCTCCGATACGTATGTACAACGAGCGTACGAATGTATAACGAACGTGTTGTATACTTTACGAGGCAGCTACTTTGCATCTTCCGACCCGATGAAAAATTCATCAGCCAATCGACGCGATAGAAAAAAGCGTCGCAATTGCGGGACGCGCGATTCCTGTGTCTTTCCGCTCGTCAACGCGATCGCGATGGAAACTGCGTGATTTGCTAAATTAGAGTCGTGTAATCGAGTAATAAATTACAATAATCAAACGCGAATTACACGTTATTAAACTATGCAATTTAATGTAGAAACTAATGTAATATGATGTAGAGCGTCGAGTTAAACCGATGGTCACAATATTCAACCATAAAGACAATTTTGACCAACCTCCGATTAACTTAATCGACGATTAATTAATGAAATTTCTAACTCTGTATAATTCGTTGTTCCTAATCCAATCGTCCCTTTCATGTATTAAACAACAAAAATTTTATCTATGTTAATAAGTATTGTAGACATTCCTTGATAAGTTAATCAAAATTTCGTCGAAAAACATTGCCTTGAAAAGTAAAGGTAGATATTCGTTTTAATCCGCGGACGGAAACGTCCAATTGAAATTTCAATAGAATATCTCCTTCCTTTTTCCTTATCTTCGCAATACATGAGGTCCTAATTCGGATGGGACGGGCTTATTTAATGAACATCGTCGGGGTGCAAGAGCGGGACGTTCAAGGACGCGGTGTAACGTCGACGGAAAAATACATTCGACCACGGCCCGAGACCGCGCTCGCTCGGGGACTCCTATAACACCTCCGGGAGGTCCTCCTCCCGGCGCGGCGGCGCGGCGTAGCGAGCGGTTATACGTGCGGTTATGGTAACCGGTCTCCACGAGTCGTAGCAAGGTCCTTAAAGGTCGATAATGGCCCCGTGGCGTGGCCCTCAACGGGCCCCTCCGAGCACGATCAAAAGGGCCGATGTCCCCGTTTCGACGCCACCGCGCCGCGCGGAGAACCGGGCCATCGACCGCGGCGAAAATTATTGCCTTAAAATACGGTCCGCCATTCCCGAAATGCTGATGAAAACATTACTGGCGCAGAGAGGCTCCGCACTGTGTCATCCGTGTGCGGCCGACAAACGATTCGTGACTCTGTACGAAGAGGAGAGACAGGCGAGTGTCGTTCGCTCGTTCGCTCGCTGATCCTCTGGCGCGGACAGCTACCGAAAATTAATGAATGAATAATTCAATGGCCGACGACAGGGTTGCGCAAGACGGCGCTGCTCCACGGACGTTATCGATTTCTACCTGTGGCACTCGACAAGTCAGTCTTGACTATTTATGAAAGTTCTAAATTACACTATTCGTATTGGATTTTCAGCTTCTTCTTCAGATTTCGTTGATTTATCGCTCTGCTTCGTTAACGGGATTTCCCACCCAGATCGTCGGTTTATTTAGGATAACTTTTTCAAATTGTTTAATTAGAAGAAACTTTTTACGACTATGTCCTGTATTCTATGTATTCACAAAGGTTTACAGATAACAATATTTATGGTTTCTTATTTTTGGTATTGTTATCTCCTAATTCCTCTTGATTATCGAATCCTTTAACACGAAGAACTTTCTTATGTGTCAAAGTATAAATGAAATTATCCATACTTTCTCTCTTTTTAATCACTTATCTATCGACGCGTGTTCTTATCTTATACATTAACTCTTTATGTAATCTAATTATTAATTATTAGTCTGATTTAGAATGAGATATT